GCCAATTATTTTTTTGATGATTTGATTCTAAATCTTATTAAAACACAAAACGAAAATGTTTTTTCGAAACGGAGTCTCGTGTTATCTCTCTCTCTCTCTCTCATTTCTCTTCAAATGAGAAGAACCCTAAGTATATATTTTTTTTCAATCATTATTTAATATTAGAAAGACAAAAATTAATTATATTCGCATCTATTTTAATTATTTATTTATTGTTATTTTTCTTTATTTATTATTATTTTTTTTTTTTATTTCATCAGGAGATCAAGCGCGACCGTGCGATCGTAGGTCCCATTTAATTATAATAATAATAATAATAATAATAATAATAATAATAATAAAAACAAAACATAATTAATTAATAAATTATACAATAGTAAAATTATTATTAATAATTATGATAATATTAGAAGTATTTTTTTTTTCGAGTCTTAAACGTCGCCTTAATTAATCGCCAAAAATTTACAAAAGTAAATAATATTAATATTAATATTAATAATAGTAATAAAAAAAAATTTCCCAAAAAAAAAAACGAAATAATTAACAATAAGTGTATGTATAAATGAGATAAACAAAAACAATGACGATTGTTTTTTGATTTTTTGTTTTTTAATCGACCGATCGGTTCGCAATCGCGCCACGAACAAACGAAAAGAAAATAAACAAAAAAAAAAAGAAGAAGGGTTGTGTATAATTATTAAACAAAGTAAAGTGAATAATATATTACGTGAAGGATGATGATGATGATGATTAAGATGAAAAAGAAAAGAACAAAAAAAAACAAAAAAAAGAAGTATGGTGTGTATGGCACCGATCGGGGGATGATGATGATGATGATGATGGTGGTGTCTCTTCGTATTTTCATTTGCAACCTAACCTCACAATTGTTTTATATTTTTCTAATTGTAAAAATTGGCAGTTAACTTCTCTTCTATCTTTTTTTTCTCCTTTATTTTATTTCTTTTTTTTTTTAAATTAATTATTTATTATTTATTTTAATAACAATCGTTTACAAGAAGCAACAAACGATTTTGGCAGTTCGTCAAAGGCTCTTAAGTTGTTGTTGTTTTTTTTTTGACGAAAAAAAAAACTCAAATAAAAAGCTAGGAATGTGTGTGTGTGTGTTTTAAGGACATGATACAAAAAAACAAAATTGATCGATGTGGCAAATAAAAAAAAAAAAAAAAAGTAGAAATCAGAAGGAGAAGAAGAATTGGAAAAGAATGGGGGGAGGGGAAAAGAAGTGTCGAAGTTCATAGGGGATTCATTTCTAGAGAACAAAACGACAATATGGCGTCGTCTAGAGAGTACGCCATTTGTATTTTTTTTTTTGTTTTTTTCTTTCTTTTGAAAAAAATCTCTAAACCTATACCTAAATTTCTTTCTCATTTTTTTTTCTCTCTTTCTTTCTATCTCTTGTTCACATTTTTATACAGAAAGAGAGAAAATACTTTGTTTTTTTTCTCTTTTTTTTTTTTTTCTTTCTTTAGAATAAAGCTATTGCGTTTGTCAGTCACACAACTGGCAGTGCACGTTTGTATTTTTGTTTTGTTTCTTTTTTTCTTTCTTTTGGCAGTGACGCGTTATTTTTTTTAATTTTTAATTTTTATTAATAATAACAATGATAATAATAATAGTAATAAAAAGAAGAAGAAGAAGAAATAGTAATAGTAATAATAGAATTATAAAGCAACTATAATTTTATATTAAAGTCTTAGAAAGAAACAAAAAAAAAATGTGGGAATGAAAATTGAATTGAATTTTCGAAAGAACGAGGGGACCCTTATTAAATGTTGCTCCCTTTTCCTACACATTGTATGTGTGTGTTATTATTTCTTTTTTCCATTGATCTTTTAAAATTTAGTCAAACAAAAATGAAGTCTTAGAAAATTTTTCACTAAACTTTGTTCTACATTTTTAAATGTACAATGTGTTTGTGTTTGTGTTTTTGTGTAAAATTTTTGATGTGTGTATTACGTGTGTGCTTTTTTTTATCTATACAATTACTAATAATAATAATAATTATTATTTAGCATCCCTTTTCTCTATAAAATGTCATCCTACACAATTATCAAATCAGCCTAAGAATAATCATGATTAATAATAATATAATTTGGACTAATTATTTACATAATTAGGGCCTCTCTCTCCAGTGCATGGCCGCCGTTCGGACCTTTAACTAATTTCTAAGATAATTAGCAATATTTAGGATACAAATATAGCCATTTTTTTTCTTTTTTTTTTTTTTTTTGCTAACTCGATCAAAAACTCAGGGGATGATTTTCAGGGTGTGTCGCCGCGAATTTAAAAAATTCATTTAAAGTGAAGCCACGCGTGACAATTTTCGAGCAAATTTAAATGAAAGGTTGGTGGGTATTTTTTTTTGTATCATCTACAGTCAATAATAATAATAATTAATAATAATATTAATAATAATAATAATAATAATAAAATTAATTCGCAAAGTTGATTTTATCGTTAATCCCTAAGAAAAAAGAAGATTCGATTCTTAATTTACATGAAATTGGCAGTGTTTCTTAGCTGGTGTGTGTGTGTGTGTATAGATGTGTATATATATATATATATATAACCACTAATTTTTTTTTTGTTAATCTCACACATTCTTTCTTCTATCTTTCTCTCTCACAAAACATTTCTTTTTCTTTCATACATAACTGTACAAATGTTCTAACTTCTACCATCATAATTATAAGGTTATTTTTGTTAATGGTCATCACGTTTCCATATCGTTCGGCGAACTATGAAAAATAGTGATCGATCCAACCAACCAACTTGACAATTAAAATCTTCTTCCTCTGTTTCTTTCTTTGTTCTCCACATTTTTTTTTCTCTCTCTCTCTCTCTCTGAATTTTTTCTCGCTGTTCTTTTTCTTCATCTTTTTTTTTTTTTCGCTAATCATCCACCAACTACTCTCCCCGTCTACCTAGCGTTTTTTTAATCGAAAACAAAAAACAAACAAAAAATTCTACTAATTTCCATTGGGATTAAATTTGAAAACACAGCCTTCGTGTATCTTACCCCGATTCGGCAAGGTAACAGCTCGTATCTGTTTTATTTTATTTTTTTTTTCTTTTTGTTTTGTTTTGTTTTGTTTTTTGTTTAAACTCGTACAGCATCATGATGTTGTGCTCTCATTCCACTTTCTTTATATCTTAATAATATTAATTACGATTAGTGTTATTATTATTATTATTATTATTATTACTAATATTATTATTATTATTAATATTAATATTATTATTATTATTAATTATATTATTATTATTATTATTGTTTATTATTAATCAGCGATATATCATCATACTGCACGAGACTCAGCAAGAAAGATAAAAATAGGCGACTATGAAGTAAAACGACAAATTTTTCACGTAAATGATATTCACCCTCTTTCCCCTCCCCTCCCATCCCCTCCCCACCCCTCGTAAAGGATATGCTCGATTAAAGTTGGTGTCTCGATGATAATGCACACATTTAGGGAAGTTAAATTTGATGATTAATAATCAATTTTCTCAGTTTTGTTCGAATAAAACTTGGTAAAAAAAAAATATGTCGAGCATACAAGAACACCTCTCGTGGAGGAGGGTGGAGGGTGGTGGATTCTGTAAAAATTCGTTTTACTTCATTTTGTACATACATGGGATTTGAATTTCTCGATAGAAACCGTTCGTTGGCGTACAAAATGTCGTCGTCGAATTATCATTCCTCTCCCCCCTGCCCCCCCCCCATTAATGTATTTTAATTTTCCAAAATTATTTTCAAATATTCATCTGCCGAGCTAGCTCACAATATTCAGCCTTCGGAGACTGTCAACTCCGTAACAGGGAAGTAAACGGGCCGAACAGACGTTTTTCTTCGTCCATTTTCTTTTTTTTTTCCTTTTCCATGCACTCTCTTTCTCTCTCTCTCTCTCTCTCTCTCTTTCTCTTTCTCTTTCTCTCTATTCAAAATTTGAATTCAACCCCTAAAATAAATTAGAATAAACACCTTCGCAAGCCCTACCAACAAACAATTCGTTTTGTTCTCAGGAAATATTCCGCTATGTTGAGATTAATACCACGATAATAATAATAATAATAATCATTATCAGTTATAGTTGATCATCAATTAAATTATTCATTCATTAAATTGTTTCTTCAATTGTTTTAAATAATTCTTCTTCATTTGTTCATTAATAATTTTTTGCGCCGTTGTGTCCAGTTTCTACCGAGCTTCGCGAAGATCGAGGTAGATTTTTTATTCAATGCAATCATTATCTTCTGTTTAACTTTGTTTTTTTTTTCTTCTTCTTCTTCTTCTTCTTCTTCTTCTTCTTTTCTTCTTGACAGTTAATTGGTCAAAGGATTATTTAAAGACGATGCTTTCGTTTTTTCACAATAATTAAGAAAAAAAAAAAGAAAACGATGAAATATATATTTATATATATATAAATCGTCGTGGTAGTACTATAGTTGTGAATAGTAGTTTAGGTGGTAGTAGTAGTAGTAGTAGTAGTAATAGTAGTAGTTAGTAGTTAGCAGTAGTAGTAGTAGTGTAGTAGTAGTAGTAACAGTGCCCGGAAGTGCCAAGGGGCCGGGTGTTAGATATTAATTGATTCCTAAGGCCACCAGAGTGATTATCTCCTTATTATTTTCCACCATTTTTCTCTTTTTTTTTGTTCTTTTTCATTTTCATTAACTAACTTCGTCATCGTCGTCAATTAATTTTTTTTTTTTTTTTAGAAGAAAAAAAAATGTCTCTCTCACTCTCTCTCTCTCTCTCTCTCTCTCTTAATATATCTCGCTCGAACCATCATAATAATATCACTCATACTGTCAACGTTTTACGTTGCTTCGTCTGACGATGAACTTTTTTTGTTTCTTCATTTTTTTCCATTTTTTTTTTCCTTTTTTTTGTTTAATTATCTTTTTAATTATTATTATTTTATTTTATTTTATTTTATTTTATTTTATTTTATTTTGTTCATGTTCATCTATTCTTCTTGTTCACATTAATCAATTTTTTTTTGTTTTGTTTTTTTTTTTTTTCATATTTGTGTTCAAACGACATTGTGTTGTAGTATAAAACGTATCCACGGTGAGGCACTTATGAGGCCCAAGCCCAGCTCTTCCGAGGCCGCTTGTGTGTATTCCCTCTATCTCTCTCTTTCTCTCTTGTTAGAATCTCTTAAAAAAAGATAAAGAGACTCTTTATTTTCTCAAACAGGTAAATTGAGCTACCATCCTCAAATTCTTGAACGATGAATTTCCATCATACATGAGATCTAAGAAAGGATTCTCTCTCTCTCTCTCTCTCTCTCTCTCTCTCTCTCTCTTTTATTTAGGCTAAATATATTAGAATGTATTATCTTCTTCTTCTTCTTCGTTTTTATCATTGCTTTTTCTTTCATTTTTTCATATTAGGGTAATTGTTTACTATTGCTCTCCGAGTTTCTTGTACTGCGGAATCAGCAGCTTTGGTCATGTCATTCGATTCTTCTTCGTTCGTTCGTTCTCGTTCGTCTAACTTCGGTTTATACCGCCACGGCATATGGTTTCACAGGTGTTCCAATTATTATTATTATTATTATTAATATTATTATAATTATTATAATTATTATTATAATTATTATTATTATTATTAATATTATTATTACTATCCAGGCTCCTCCTTCTGTTTTTTCTTATTATCACACATATTTCTGGACCCCGTCATGTCGTCCATGTGTTTAAACTTCATTCGGTTTTCTTCATCTTTTTTTTTATCTTCTTCCTTTCCTTCTTAGTCAATTTTTTTTTTATTGGTTTCCAATAATCTTCATTTCGAGACATTATCACGAATTCTTAACTGATTTTCGACGTTGCTTTATTCTTGTTAATGGTGGTACACCACCGTGCATTGCTGGGTATAACGCTAGACTAACTTCTTCAGGATATTTTCTAGCTATTTTACGTATTTCTACGTGTTTTGTGCTTTGTACTTCAGATTCTAATACCCATTCGTCTGGTTCTCTAAACAAATCATTCAAATCATTCAATTAATATATATGTGGAATTTCATTAGATTGACAAATTTGAATGGAAATACTTACATGTCCTGAGGATACCATCGTAAAAGGACTTTAACTTTGCCATCCATCTCTACTCTTCTTGCTAATACCTATCAATCAAATTCAATAATTATAACCTTTGTCTTTTTATTTGATTACTTGATCGTTTTCCTATTGAACTTACTTGACTAGTTAGGGCCATCGAATCTCCAGGCGTTTCAGCTAACCGACCTTGCGTTCTTGTTTTGGCCAGCTCAAATAATCTATGTTGAAGACCTTCCATGACACCGGAGTCGAAATAATCGAACAGTCGTGCTAAACATATTAAAAAGACAAATTTAGGATTTATTACAAAGTTGGAATTAGGAAAATTGTTAAACTACTTACCAGACCATGGTTGTCTTCTATATCTCAATCTCTTTCCATTCCTCCTGACAAGTTTGCCACCATTTTCGCAACTCCTCCTTCCGCTACTGCTACTTGTTTCGGGTTGATTGAAGTGGCCATTAACGTGCCTTTCCAAGGTTGTCTGTAAAGTGATTCGTAAAGCGTAAGAATTTTAAGAAGTCCGGCATTTTCCAGAGAGAGCCTCATCCAACAAGATTAAAGGGCCTGCCTGGAAGTTAGATTTGAATAGATATATATATAGATGTATATACTTTCCCTCTTTCTCTCTCAAATACACTCATTTATCAGCATAACGACAAAAGATGATGACAAATTTGCGTCTGATGCAGAGGAAAGTTGGATAAACGACGATGTGATTTTAAACATTCCAAATATTTGTTGTTTTTTCAAATCTAATACTTTCGTGAAAATAGAACAAATTCCTAACTGAGTGAACCCTTTTTTTTCCAGGGTTTTGATATTATCGGGTGGAAGATAATAAAACAAGTGGTTTCAGCTGTCACTGGAAAATGTCCAGGAAGAACATTGCTCGACGTGTCAGGAACACCAGGGACGGTTAAGACTAAAGACTTTTCTTCCATCCCCGATTTTGTTCTGTTAGCGTGACACTAAATTTAGAAGAGTATTATTATTAACATTGATTTTATCGAAAAGATGGCTAACAACGTAGAGATGAATTTTAACGAAATCTCTTTGGTACTTAACCGACACGGATGAACGATGACAATAATAACAATATGACCAATTTTACAATTAACAATATTCAATAGCGTTCAAAATACACTGATTGTCAATCTTTAATATAACACATTGTCAAGTTATTCGAATCACTTTTTAAGAATATCACTCGAAGTAGGGGAGGGGAGAAAGGTCTTCGTCCTTCTTTTCCTTGTTCCAGATTTTTTGTTTTTTTTTTTCGTTTTTTTTTTTTTTTATAACGTAAAATACATTACCCAAAAGAGATCAAGGATAAAGTTTTAACAGATACAATAGAAACACACATCGTCTGACCAGGATGTTTTTCCACCAAGTTAGGGACCATCATTTGGATGAATGCTCGACGACAAAGAACAAGGTAAATGATTAGTTCGTATTCGATTATTTTTTGGGCATATTTCGTCGATTATCGTTTCTTTTTTTTTTTTTTTTTTTTTTGATTGTTTTGAAAAAAGATACGTGAATGGCTGAGAAAAAGTCCATCGATATACCGAACGGCAGTAAAATATGGGGGGAGACTTGTTGAAGGGGATGCAAACATCTTTCTTCTTAACACGAAGAGACTTAAAAACGATACGAGAGACAAATCTTCGAATGTTCAACAGGGGGGGGGGGAAAGAACAATTATTTTTTGATCGTGAGAGTTGACTGGTCTTCTGAGGAAGAATTAATCTCATTAAACATTTTCTCATAATAGTTGAATATATATTACACAATTGACGAAGCGAAGAATATTATCGAAGAATATTAAACGAAATCTGATCGAAAGAATGTTTCAATACCAACAGAGAGGTTTTAGTCTTCCTTCTAGAAGACAACAGGCTGCTTCTCTAAAAGGACGATTAAAAAAAGCTTCTTTTTTTTCTTTTCTTTTCGTGCCATCCAATTAGTTTCGTTATTTCATTTGAAAAAAACAACAAAACTGGTGGACGAAATTATACCTGTGAACTAAATCTACTGCCACATCCATCGACGATACACCGAAATGGTTTGTTTCCGCCATGAGAAAGTACGTGTCTTTCAAGCCATCTTCTTGAACAGGATGTTCTTCCTTGAACTTTACAACCCAGCCAATGACAAACAAAATTGTCTCCACCAGTTTGCGTGTTGATGTGAGCCACCTAGTAGTAAGAATATTAATTCAATTTAAATGTTTAACAATTAAATGTAAATTGTTGTTGAAGATTGACCATGAATATAATACCTGGAGATGTTCTAAAAGACCAGTGCTAGATTCGAAACTAGCTTCGCACTTGTCCCATCGACAAATCCCACTATCCGCATGCTGCGACCTATCCTTTTCAGGTGCCCTAGCAGGAAAACGTATCGTTGTAGGTGCTGACAAAATTGGTGAAAGTGTTGTCTTTGATTCACTGCCTCTAGAATCATCTTCTTCCTCTTCAACATCTTCTTCGTCAGCTTGCAACGTTTGAGTTTCGTTCTTTTCATTTTCAACTGACGATAACCTGGACAACGGGCCCTGACTATTCTGAGATCGTAAGAAACCAAGTAAGGTTGGACATCCATTCGTTAAATTATTGTTCTCGTTGACGTGAGGTTTCGAATTTAAAATACACCCTTTGTAATCGTTTGTAGGAGGGTTGGCAATTGGCGTTGAAGGTGGTGAACACGGTTTTATCGAGCTTGGACTTGCTTCCGAAGTAAGCCTATAAATGTTCATCAATATTCGCGTTTATATAAAACAAATTGTGTTATAGTACGAGTTTTCTTTTTGGAGAATAAATGATAAAGAAAATAACCTTAGAGAGGAGATCTTGCAGGGTGGTATATTTTTAAGAACTTCGTTGGAGATAGGCAAACTTGGCAGAGGCTTTGTTAATTTTTTATCTATTTTAGCGTTGGTCCTAGGCACGATGACTGGTGGTGTTTTCTTAATAGGCGGTGGCGGCGACATGTTAACAGTTCTAATATCCCAATCCTTGCCAGTTTGCGTGGTACGAGGATTAGAAACGGTGCCGAGGTATTTGGCAAGGCCACCTTTGTTCCTTTGAACGGTTGGTGGCCTTCGAAATTCCGAGGAACTTTTAGCGACCAGTACCGACATTGTTTCCGACGTCTTTTTCAGCTGTTGAGACAGAAAAATAATACTAATGACGAATCATGAAATGATAGTATAGTTGAAAGAAAAATAACTCACTTTAGATTGTGATGGTTTGATTTGGGATTTAAAATACTCGGTGATTTTTCCTTGAGATGAGGATTCGTTATGATGAATAATACCAACTGGTTTATTACTGTTCGCTTTAGACGATCCTCGCGAAGTTGGATCGGCTGCACCGGACCTAGGCAAGGTACCCGCTTCGGGTTCCCCTTTGAGTTTCTTATAAGTCGAACAGGCCGTTGCCGCCAATAGCGGGGTCCAGGGCCACTGGGGCCTGGTACCGAGTTGCGAGGATGGCGCCAGCTTGGGCAAACTTGGTAATGGGCTTGCTGATGCTCCCCTTAATGCTGCTACACCTTCGTCGCTGCTTGTACTACACGGCGAACCTGGTTCAGTAATGTCGCTTGTCCCACTACTGCTACACTCTCCGCACGAGACTGCTACTCCACTGTGAACAAATTCAACAAAATATAAATAATCATTTGTTTCATTTCGTTTTCATTTCATTTTCATTTCGTAAAATCAGGGGAAAAATTGAAAATAGTTATACGGGTGTTGTTTGCGAGGGAGGATGATGCGGATTGGGGCAAGGTTTACAGGAAATTACACGATCACGTTCTATGGGTAATCCTATTAACCCAACTTGGGATAACCTAATTATGAGGCCAGACATTTCCAATTGCCTTGCAATGACTCTCTCTATCTCTCTCTCTTCATCATGTAGCTGCCTACCGACTCTCTCGTTGCCTAGGGCAACATCCTTTTTTTTCTTTTTTTTCTTTTCCCCAGATTTATGCTCCAAATTAAAAAGAGAGAGAGAGAACACGAGTAAGCCTTTGGCCAGTCAGCAACAACAGGAAGAACGAAAGAAAAGAAAAAGAGAGAGAAAGAGAGAGAGAGAGACCCAAACCAACTGAATCCTAATTCGTGCAACGATTATCTTTCGATCTAATCATTTGTTAAACAAATAAATATTAATATAATTTTATTTGAGAAATAAATAAAAAATTGCTGATCTTTCGTAAGAAAAAAAAATGGGGGGGGGGATGGGGTGGGATGGGTATAAATCTTCCATCTCGCTTTTACCAGAGGACTGGTATTGGATATTTTAAGATCAGCTACTCGATGTTTTGCGCTCGCGCGTACTTACACAAACGCGCGGATATACATTGAGAGAACGACGTCACGGTGAGAGAAAGACACTGACCTTTCCACATTACGATTCCGACATTGCGTTTACGCAACGACGCACTTCACCGCGCGGCCACAGCGAGGGGAAAGTGCGCCCAGCGCGCGCACACATACACACACACATAAATACACAGTATATAACATAGAAAGAGAGATGAAGCGTTCATTAAAGCTGCACCGGAAGAATGTTCCGATGACCTCGATGACCCCAAAAAATTATAATCAAAGATGTTACATTTAATTTTTTTTTGTTTTGTTTCTTCACACTTTTTACTATCATTTTCTAAAACGTTGTTTCATTTCATTTTTACAAGGGTTCACAGTTCAAAACATTGTCTTAGTTTTCTATATTTGTCTAATGAACTATTTCATTATTTGTATTTTATTTATAGTATTTGTCAAGAGGAAGGATGATCTAAATACACGAATGATATATACATCTGTTAAGTAGTAATAGTAGTAGTAGTATCATAGTACTGTTCAGAGAGAGAGAGAGAGAAAGGGTAATATTCATTGAACGTGCGAAAGGTCAAGAAACGCGATCAACCTCGATCGAAACATGAGATGAATTTGAAATGGGCCAACGTGACGTTCTCGTAACAAACCTAACTGGGCAATTATCAATGACCATCCTCTATCCATCGTCTCTCTCTTACTTTCATTAGAAATTGCATTTACCATACACACAAGCATACAATACAAACATACAAAGAAAGAGAGTGGGACATCTTTCAATGATTATTCAAAGATGCAATAGTTAAACCTATTACATTGCACATAAATTATTGTTTATTATTATAACAAAACAAAAAAAATGTTTAAAAAGACATAAGGTTGCATTTTTGTTTGTTTAAAATCCACCTTGCAGGTGGCTCCTCTGAACGGGGATGCACCGAAGCTTGGATTCTCTCACTCTCTTCTCTCACGCCCTCTCTCCTTCCTCTTTTAACACACATACACATAGAAATATCCCTCTTCTCTTTTCCTATCCGTGTTCGATCTAGCTCTTTCCTCCCTCACTATTACAGCTAGAGCATACTTTACTCTAACACATATACACACACATATATATACATAAAAGCATTCTCTATTTTTCTATCTCCGTCTCTCTTTGCGGAACACTACTACTACTACTACTACTACAACTATTCTCTGGCTTGTACAGTCTTCTATTGTTGCACTCGCTCTACCAATTTCCCTTCCTCCCTTTCCACCTCTTTCACTCTCTTTTCTATCTCTATCTTTCTTTCTCCCCATCACCCCACGCCCTGCTTTTTTTTTTCATCCCCACCAAAGCAACCGACGATCCATGTATTTTCTCTCTCTCTCTCTCTCTCCTCGTCAGATATCATTCTAACCCTGTCTACTTACTTGCTTCCTCTTCCTCTATCCAACAATTTTACCATTTCTATCTATCAATGTTGCACACTTCTTCTTTCCCTTATGGTTTACACTAACATGCCTTTGTGTTTGTGTTTGTGTGTGTGGAAAATTTGTTGGAATATAATGGATGAATAATTTATGCAAATAAATGTATGTGTGTGTTTTTATTTTAAAAGAAATAAGAAATGTTAGAGAACACGGTGTTTTTAGTTTGTGTAGCATATATAACACACAGGATGTAACACTATAGTGTATCAAGTTTTGTTGAGAAAAAACAGTATAATGTAACTCTACGGTGTTTAAATTTCTCTCTCTCTCTCTCTCTGTCTCTTTCTTTCTCTCTGTTTCTCTTTGCCTGGCACAGGACGGCGGAAATGCATGCTCACCTAAATACCTTGAGTTATATTCACTGCTCAGAAACTACTAAAGAAAGAGAGAGAGAGAGAGAGCACTGTTGAAAGTCTGCGGATAACGACGAGTCTATATGTGGTATCCTCTCATGGTAAAATTCGTTTTGAAATGTAATAAAAGTATAACCATCAAGTGAGAGTAGAAATAATAATACAACAATAGAAAAAGAAATAATAAGAAATTTGTACGATGCAAAAGAAAATTCATGTTCAACCGTATAATTTGTGAACTTTGACGAGTAGTTGTTGTTTTAGTTTATTCAACGTTTCATGCATCCTAAGATGGGGAGAAGAAGAGGTAACAATTTTCCAAGTTATCGCTAAAAGGGTAATTCTTGATTATTACCTAAGACTATATCATCCCTATTGGGGTAGGACTTACTTATACACTCCCCCTTCTTTTTTTTTTTTGTATCCTAATCAAAAATTCTAAAACAATTTTTTTTCATCCTTTTTCCAATCGATTGCAGCCCTTTTTTCCATCGATATTTTCCATGTCTATAACCATAAGATGAATAGATGCTGCATGAGAGACTTTTGAAAAGGGATAGAACGGCCATCTTGAAAATACCCTCCTTTTTCGTTCCCTATGTCCTTTCCCGCGTTCGTAGAAAGAGGAGGAGGAGGAGGAGGAGGAGGAGGAGAAAGAGAAAAAAAAAAGAAAAAAAGGCCAGAGACGGGTTTCTCTGTTCCCTTTTTCGCGCACCGGTCGATTCCCATCAATTTCGTTAAATTTTTCATCGAAAGCCAGGACTTGAAAGCTCACCGGTAATCCTGTCGAATGTTTCTTCCCTTTTTTACGAACACGAAGGGTAATCCCTTTTTTTATTTTTTTTATTTATATGTTTTATTCCATTTTATTTCTTTTGATCCACTTAAAATATGCCATACGTCACAATAATAATAATAATAATAATAATAATAATAATACTAATATGTTACCAAAGAAAAATCATTTGGAATATTTCAACGTTTGAAAGGATCGATAAAAGGGACACACACACACACACATAGACAAAAAAATCAATTTAATGTTTGTTTGAGGGTTTTTTTTTGGCAGGGAAAAGATCAAGGCCAGATTATGATTTGGCACAGAACATTTTCGTCCATCCTTTCGGACACGTTCGATAACTGACCTACACTCACTCCTTTCATTCTCGACGTGGTCACGCGAGCTTGCTTGCTGCTTGCGTACGCACAATGGCGTACGCACAAATTCAAGCCCTTTATTCTGTAAATCGGTCATTTCAGATTCGCGAGGTAGAGGGTTCAAAGTACACCCACCAACCAACAAACCCCTACATTTTTATCTGCCATGTCAGGTGTCGACGACTGACGTTCAACCTTTCGTTTTGCGATAAACAAAAAATCAAAATTACAATCGTTCGTATCTTTTTATTTTAATTTTGTGATAAAAAGGATCGAATCGTGAAGAAGAAGAAGAAGAAGAAGAAGAAGAAGAAGAAGAAGAGGAAGAGGATGAGCAAAGTGTACAGGGTCAAAAAGGAAAATCCAAGAAGATTGGCATAAGGTCGAGGTTATTTGCTGGGAAATTGCTAGGCCGTAGGTTCATCGAAGCTGGATCTCTCTCCCTCTCTCTCTCTCTTTCTTGCAGGAAGAAAAGGGGGCTGGAAGAAACTTTTGATAAAAGGGAGAAAAAGAGAAGAAGGGTGAGTTGGTAGTAAAAGGGCAGGAGGCAAGGTGGAGGAGCAGCTTGAGCCTTAGCCTAGCTACTGAAAAAGGTTTCCAATGTTACTTTCGTACCTTCCTTTCCCTGTCAATGAAATCTCAACCAATTTTACCCGATCGAATCAGTAATATTCAATTCTAAAAATTTCAACATCACATTTTAACATCGTCAAATGTTAATCATCATCAAATTCAACAAAATAATAATAATAATAATAATAATAATAATAAAAAACATTGTTATACAGTTTTATTGGTGGAGAACTAATTAAGGGATGTGTCCATCAAAATGATAATGAGAATTGTTTAACGTTAACATGTTTTATTTATTTATTTTTTTTTTTTTATTTTTTTTCTTGATCAACGATATTTCAATGCAGGTTGTTGAACAGCTGCCAAGCATTCAAAAGCAAATCTCATTGCCTGCGGGTACAATTTAAACGTCATTATCGTTACCAATAAACAATGATTCTATTAGCCATTCTCTCTCTCACTCATACATACTCAATAATACATTGAATCGTAGTACATGGTTTGAACCTTTTCAGATCAATCCATTTGAACAATTCATTTCGTTAAGAATTCAAAGAATTATGATGATGATGATGATGATGATGATGATGATGATGATGATGATTGGAGTACTAGAACGATTTGATTTTTAATTTTCAATCTAATGTGAAAGAAAAGGAAAGAAATACCAATGTAAAACAAATATATTCCTAGTATTTGATTGTGATAATAATAGAAGAGTAGGGGTAGGGGGATGAAAACT